GACCCCCGGCGCGGCGTGTGGCAGTGCTGTGATCAGACGCGGCGAGGGAGCTCTAACCTCTCTGCTCTGCTCCCTCGCGCGCTGTCTGCTGATGCCGCGGGAGCCGGAATATGACGTCATATTCCGGCTCCCGCGGTACAGAAGGCAGCCGCGAGGGAGCAGAGCAGAGAGGTTAGAGCTCCCTTGCCGCGTCTGATCACAGCACTGCCGCACTGGACCCCAGGGAATGATTCATCATCCACACCAGCTCTCCAGGTAGGGAGGCTGGGTGGAAAATGTTTATTTATTAAAATAATTAGTGAGTGTGTGTATGTGTGTCTGTTTGTCTGTGAGTGAGTGTGTGAGTGTCTGTGTGTGTATGTGTGCCTGAGTGACTGTGTGCCTGTGAGTGACTGTCTGTGATTGAGTGTGTGTCTGTGTGTGAGTGTCTGTGTGTGACTGTGTGTGTGTCTGTGTGTGAGTGTATGTGTGCCTGAGTGACTGTGTGCCTGTGAGTGACTGTGTGATTGAGTGTGTGTCTGTGTGTGTATGTGTGTCTGTGTGTGAGTGTATGTGTGCCTGAGTGACTGTGTGCCTGTGAGTGACTGTGTGCATGAGTATGTGTGTCTGTGAGTGAGTGTGTCTGTGAGTGTGTGTGTCTGTGAGTGATTGTATGAGTGTGTGTGTGTGTGTGTGTGTCTGTGAGTGCTTGTATGAGTACTGCATATGAGTGTATGAGTGTGGCAGTGTATGTGTGTCTGTCAGTGTGTGTTTGTGAGTGTCTGTCAAATCAGTGAGAGTATCTTTGTCATTGAGTCTGTGTGTGAGTATCAGTGTGTGTCAATGAATGAGTGTGTGTCTGTCTGTGAGTGTCTGTGTGTGTATGTGTGTCTGTGTGTGAGTGTATGTGTGCCTGAGTGACTGTGTGTCTGTGAGTGACTGTCTGTGATTGAGTGTGTGTCTGTGTGTGAGTGTCTGTGTGTGACTGTGTGTGTGTGAGTGTATGTGTGCCTGAGTGACTGTGTGCCTGTGAGTGACTGTGTGCATGAGTATGTGTGTCTGTGAGTGAGTGTGTCTGTGAGTGTATGTGTGTGTCTGTGAGTGATTGTATGAGTGTGTGTGTGTCTGTGAGTGCTTGTATGAGTACTGCATGTGAGGGTATGAGTGTGGCAGTGTATGTGTGTCTGTCAGTGTGTGTTTGTGAATGTCTGTCAAATCAGTGAGAGTATCTTTGTCATTGAGTCTGTGTGTGAGTATCAGTGTGTCTGTCAATGAATGAGTGTGTGTCAGATCAGTGAGTCTGTGTGTTTGTCATTGAGTGTGTGTGACTGTCAGTGTGTATACACCACTGAGTGTAGCGTGGCGGAGCGCAGTACAGGAGCTTCTGTTTCCTGTACCCGGCCAGACTGACTGGAGGTGCTCACTGAGAGAGCACTCCCTGTCAGTCTGGCCAGGTACAGAAAATTGAAGCTCCTGTAGGGGATATCCTCCACTCGGCAACGCTACAAGAGAGGTAGGAGGCACACCAGGAAGGGGAGTGCGACCACTAAAGGGGTGGGGGGTGCACCAAGGGACAGGGAGGGGAGGGGAGAGAAACACCAAGGGACAGGAAAAAGAGGGGAGAGCTTAGAAGAACACTAAGGGACAGGGAAGGGAGGGGACCACTAATGGACGGGGAGAGGGGCTGGTTAAGAGGCACATAGGTGAAGATGTTATTTTGGGGGGGGGGGGGAAGATACATCTTCGCCTATGTACCCAAAAATCTTTGCACCGGCCCTGGTGGTGGGAGATTTATTATCGGAAAATCTGTACTACTAAAAGATCACAGGTCAAATTTTTTATACCTTGCTTCTGAAGTGCTTATACAATCAAGCGCATGTACGTCATATAGAACAGAATCCTACAGGGAGAGTGTTTATTTGGGGTATTTAGGTTACTGTTACTGGAGAGAATGTATCCCCAGAAAAAGGCTCTGAGTTGGTGGTATTGGTATATTGTATGTGGTGCTTCTCTTACGTGAACTGAATAAGTGTGATAAATCGTCAAACTAAAGCCTTGACATTATTTAACTCTTCCTTTTTATTATAACATAATTTTTTTTATTTCACCCCTCTTAAAGGTGACACAAACTCTAGAGTGATGCCTCATCTATGAAATATATTGGTTTTTCTTCCCCAAAAGGTTAGCTTTACCATACTCCCTGTATAAAATGTGGCATATATCAGAATTCTTAATCCGCGATGAACTCCAAAGGCTGCTCTGCAAGGTTTTTATGACACCTCCATGAAGGAGGCTGATCAGATATGTGATAGAAGGTCTGCTTTTGCAAATCGTTAGCAGTACAATGTGAAAAGCTTGACAGTTGCTGTGTCAGTGAAATAATTCTAAAACCGTGCACATGCAGTTTTAAAGTTACCCGTCATTAAAATATATTGCAGATAGGAAAAAAAAAAGCATGTTTAATCTAGAACCCAGGAGTGACAACTGGAAATATGACACGTTTTCAAAGTATTTCCATCTATGACTCTGAAATAGGGATTAACATAGTATAAGAATTTAGAAATGTGCAGACTTTAAGAATTCCTATTGGCCTGATCCAATGAAACTCAAAGCATTAAATGGTAGATTATTGGAGTAAGGCACATTGTGGCTTAATTCCCAGTACATTATGGTAGGTTAAAAACAAAAAAAGTTGACCAAAGTAAGTTATTTAGCTTCAAAAAGCTCTTTTTAAAAAAATGCTATTTAATTATTTTTGTATCTATTCATCGTTTTGATTAATATTTTAACATTTTGCCATCATCACAGTTTGGTCCCTAAACTCCTTACTATGCTGCAATTGTTAAATCCTTAGAATGTTGAAAAACAAATTGCTATAGTGACATAGATCGTCATGGGTCCCTAAGGGGGCATTATGCCAAGTCAGATGTTAAGTCACCATTAGGTCACTGCAGTAAACACAACTCATGGAATTGAGAGGATTATTTAAAAATGAGACTTCACACATCGACGTAGCTAAACCAGTTTCAGATTATCCCTTTCAGATTGTATGTATAACCCTCCATACTCTTACAATGTACAAGAGTGCACAAGGTTTAATGTATAGAGTGCTTATGTAGAAAAGTGGAAATCTTTAGCTTAAAATATTTTTTGAAGACTGCAAGCAATTTGTTTTGATCATTTTTTTTTCTTCTGCCCTAAAACCTCGATCATTCATTACTGATAAGTAGAGATGTCGCGAACCGTTCGCGAACAGCTCGCCACAGTTCGTGGCGAGCTCCGGTCAGCTGACACATCCCGGCCAATCTCCAGCAGACCCTCCCACCTCCTGGACAGCATCCATGTTGAAAGCAGCTTCACCATGGATGCTGTCCAGGAGGTGGGAGGGTCTGCTGGAGATTGGCTGGGATGTGTCAGCTGACCGGAGCTCGCCGCGAGCCGTTCGCGGGACGTTCACGAACGGTTCGCGACATCTCTACTGATAAGATCATTTCAAATATACATATACACTGATCAGCCACAACATTAAAACTACCTGACTCCTCATGCTGCCAATACAGTTCTGATGCATCAAGGCATAGACTCCACAAGACCTGAATGTGTCCTGTGGCATCTGGCACCAAGACATTAGCCACAGATCCTTCAAGTTGTGCAAGTTGTGAGGTGAGGCCTCCATGGATTGGATTTGTTGTTCTAGTACAACCCACAGATACTCAATCAGATTGAGAAATTGGAAATTTTGAGGCCAAGGCAACACTTTATACTCTTTTTTTCATGTTCCTCACACCAGTCCTTATCATTTTGTGCAGTGTGGCAGGGTGCGTTATCCTGCTGAAGAGGCCATTGCCATACAGGGGTGTACTTGGTCTGCAATAATCTTTAGGTAGGTAGTACATGCCAAAGTTTCATTCACATGAATGCTAGGACCCTAGGTTTCCGATTAGAACATTGCCCAGAGCCTAACACTGTCTCTGTTTGCCTTCCTTCTTACCGGGTAAACAACATACCTGGCACTCCACCTGATCTAAAATAAAATGTGATTAATCAGATCAAGTGGTCCTCTTATATTGCTCCATGGGCCAGTTCTGATGCTCACGTCATCATTGAAGGTGCTTTTGAGGGTGGACAGGGGTAATAATAGGCAATCTGACTGGCTGGTGGCTAAGCAACCCCATATGCAACATACTGTGATCTACTGTGTGTTTTGACTTTCTATCCTGGCCAATTTGGGATACAGCAGCTCTTTTGTGTGATGGGACCATATGGCTCCCTATGTGATCCCCACGTATATCAACGTGCCTTGGACGCCCATTATACTGATGCTGGTTCACTGGTTGTCCTTCCTCATCACCACTTTTGGTAGGTACTAACTACTGCAAACGGGGAACACTCCACAAAACTTGCCATTTTGGAGATTCTCTGACCCAGTTGTCTAACCATAACTATTTGACCCTTGCCAAAGTGACTCTGATCTTTTTAGTTTGCCAATTTTCCTGCTTCCAACACATGAAAGTTAAGAACTGACTGTTCACTTACTTCCTAATATATTCCATCCCTTGAAGGGTGCCATTGTAACGATATAATCCATGTTATTCACTTCACCTGTCAGCAATGGTGTATCCTAGTTTTGTGCTGCCCTAGGTGCCTCCCTCCCCCGCCCCCTGCCACTCCCATCCAAACCTTCCCCCCCGCCCTGCCTTCTAAATACACACACACACATTCACTGACAAATACGCATACACTAGCTAACAAACACACACACTAACACTCACAGACAAATACACACTCACTCACTAGCAGACACACACACTCACAGACAAATACACACTCACAGGCAAACACACTCACACTAACAGACACACTCAGTAACAGACACTAACAGACACACTCACACTCACTAACAGACACACACACACATACATTAAAACATTTTTTTATTTTTTATTTACCCCTCTCCCTGGGGGTGCAGTGGCTGCTGGGCGGGCGGCGCTGGCGGGTGGCTGACAAGGGAGCACTTCCCCCTGAGCTGTCTGCTCAGCTCCCTCGCGCGCCGCAGAGTGATGCCGGGAACGGCTCCCAGCCTCACTCTGCGGCGCGTGAGGGAGCTGAGCAGAGAGCTCAGAGGAAGTGCTCCCTCGCCCGCCAGCACCGCCCAGCATGTCAGTTAGCCACAAGGCTAACAAAACATTTGCCCTGGGCATTTGGGGGCAACTTTTTTTCTGCCCCCTGGAAAACGCCGCCCATGGCAAATGCCTTGTTAGCCTCGCGGCTAAAACATCCCTGCTTGTCAGGGGTTTTACTTTTGTAGCTGATCAGTGTATACACTGCATAGACATTTTAAGAATAGTCCAAAGGAAGTCTAGCTAATTCTCATAAACCCTTAAACATTATTACTTACTAAGGGTAAACAAAGGTTGTATGGATTATTGGCAAAAAGAACCACTGAAAACCTGGTAGAAAAAAAACAAACGTGTTTAGAAACATGCTGCAAATGACTTAATCTAAGCCTTGAGCAGCTTTCTGTGAGACCTAAAGTGCTTGGCGAGAATCGGTATTCTACTTGGCTCTCCAGTGGTTACCCACCATGAATCCTTGTTAATAATGATTTTTTTTTTCTCCTCTGAAACACAGATAAAAAGCACTGTTTTCTTTTAAACTTCCCGTTAGAGAGAAGAATTTTTTTTTTTCTTCTTATCCTTTAATGTTTTCACTTCTACATGTTAGTTCATTAATTGTACAGACAGTAATGATAATGGCTGTAAAAGTTAATGGCACATTGCATGTGTTCACCGTGCAGTAACCTGTTTCAATGGCAGCAAATCCACCATTATGACTAGTGCTTAGTTTTATGCTAATGATGAAAGGAGAGAGAACCTGTGGTTTTCCACAGTTATTGCAGGTAATAGAAGAACCCTCTTCTGAGTAATGATGAATTGCCAGTCATAGTTGAATCAGGTAGTCTTATTGTATATCTAAATCTATATCTTCCTTACAATTACAAATATTTATTTAGTGCGAACATATTCCACGGTGTTGTACAAAGGGTAAAATAAGGCAAACGATTCTAATAAAACAGGTTTTATATACGGGAACAATTGGAAAATTGTATTCTTTAGGATTCAATTTAAAATTGTACTTGCCAACAATCTGCAATCAAGTCCTCTTACACATACATCACAGTCCTGTATTCAGTGGGACAGTTCTGATATTGAGCAAAGATAACAAGAACTCTCAAAGAATTCACGGGGTGTTCACGGATCCATGGTCCTTTACAAAAAATGTTGTAACACAAATTGGTTTGGCACTCTTCCATCAATACTCCCTTTAATTTAAATCCTCTTTTTGTCCTCACACACTGCTGTTACATGTAAGATTTCAATCCTATCATGATTCTCACTATCATGTGTTTGCCTTTCTGGTGATCTGTTTTGGAGGCACGAGACCAAGGTCCCCCATGGTGTGAGTGCACCGTTAGATGTATTCACATTACACATCGTAAATTCAGGACTTAGAGCCCATGCAAAAAGGGCTACAAGCACATGTGCACTTCCAAAGTGAGGCTGGCCACTGCAGCCATCCTGACATTTATACATGATAGCCTGACCAGGTTCTTGCTTGCGTGGATTACCCCTTTTTGAGGAGGTCCACCCCCTAGTCACCACTCCCATGTTCTTTCACACATCCATAACTTCTAATATATATATAAAATGTATGTTTATATGTATACAGACCTGCTAAATTGTGCAGCAGTCTGTTTAATACCAGTTATGTGTCTCCCTCCATATTAATGTATCACGCATCCATACCCGTTTTTCACCAGGTACACCACCTATGTGTCTCTTTCTGATGCTGACACATATGTTGGTGTGTGGTGCCTTCAGATCATGCTATGGCTGATTTCATGTGCATGCGCCATTCCTTGCTCATATTTTTCAGCTGATTAGAAGGCACAACTGGAAAAGACCTAAAATACCTAACTAAAATATCCAGCAAAATTAAGTGCCCTTTCCTGGGTTTTTGTCTCTCAGAATATGGTGCTTATATTGCTTATACTATCTGCTTCTTGTAATGACCCATTGGTTTGTCTATACATTATCTCTGATTTCTGGTTTTCTGATGATTAGCGTTTCCCTGTTTTCAGTACATGTTACCAGCCTGCCATGTATTGCATTTCCATCTTATAGGAGGTGTTTGATTTTCCATTTAACTTGTTTACCACTTAAATAAACTCTCCGGACCCTAAAAGCACTTAAGCTTGCTGATATGCTTTATGTGTGAAGAGTGTGTTCTCTTTTTGTGTGTTTCATTTTACAAAAAGTGCAGTTGCAATAGAAATTGGCACTTTTATAAAGTAACTTTGCCCACCCCACCCCTCTCGGCTGTCAATTATACAATTAATTATGTTGCTTCCTGGTTTGGTTAGCTCAGTGGAACTAAACTCAAGAGGCAGCAATTGCTCAGAGCACCTGTCTTGCAAAGACTTCTCATTGAGCTATATTGGGAAGTCAGTGATTGGACAGCCACAGAAAGTCTGGGCGGGGTTAGAAGGGGAGGGCTTGTAAAGCCTTCAGACAAGAGAACTGCATCTTTTGCAAGCTGTTTTTAGATATAACCCTGATGAAAACAAGACATAATTAAGTGACTGCATGTTTTAATTTGTTTAATTTTTAATTTAATAAACGTTGATTTGTATATTTATATATTTGGGCAGTGGAGTGTCCTTTTAAAGACTGGGAATCTGGTCCAACTCTTCCTGAATCTTTAATCAACCAGAGCCACCATGAGCATGAGTAATGCTGGAATATCTAATCTTGTTCCTTTGTGAATCTGGCCACCACGAATCTAGGTTCTATGTGCTATGTTATCACGGAGTCTGGCACCTACCTTACTTAACCTCTGGTTAACCCCTTCAAGCAGCCACGTTTAATTACACTATTCAAGCTGACTCATGAATAGATAATTCTAAGTTCTTTATTTTAGCCAAGAAGTAATCTGTTTAAAAAAAAAATGTCCTGATTAAAGTCTAATTCTTTTTCATGAGATTCTGAGACGAAGCATTTGCAGTAATATGCCAAGTATCACTGGCATTAAAGTCTGTGTACACGCTGCTGATAATTTTATCTAGTTAAATTAAATAAAAAATGTTTAATTTCTATGGACTTTTTTCCCCCCTTTTCAGATAATTGCAGAAAACATCAGTAATAATCATATTCACACAGTGTGGATCAATTGGAGACTGATCTAAATTACAGCATGCAGAGCCGAGGCATTGGCACAATCCCTTTACTCACTGAGATAAGAGGAATGCTGGATTTGAAGTGGAAAGCCCAATCTGATTCTTTATAACAGCTTCTTCTGTCTCTGGGTAAGGTTGCTACCCTAGGCATCAGAATGACACCATTAGCGCTTATCAGGCAGTTATACACTGTGCACTTTAAATAATTTAAATCACTTGCTTTCAGTGTAGTAGTTTCTAATATACAGGCTAGTTACAGTGCATTTTTCTGTACATTTATTCCTTTAATTTTAAGTTAAATAGACTAAATAGTCCCTTATCAAGTTTATATACTTTGGAAGGGGTTTGTTAAGACACTAGACCCCTAGTCAAATTAAATAAGATCATCACTAATTCCATTCAATTTGGAAAGGGTTAATTGAACTATAATTAAATAAAAAATATTACTAACTCCATACAATCTGGAAGGGGTTAATTTAGCCATTACACTCTAAGTTAACATATACTAGGCAAGATCATCATTAATTCCATACAATCAGAAAGGGGATATTCTAACCATTAAGTTCTAAGTTAATTAATATATATCAAGTAAGAATATCATCCATTTCATATACACAGGAAGGGGTTAATTCAGTTCACCGAGGTGACTACCCACCTCGAGAGAATCTCTACCACATCATCACATAAGTTTTTCAAACTTACCAATTAGAAATTGCCACATTGAACCAATAGTAAGATCTCTCCCCATATTTAAATCAAGTGCTTTGTACTGACCGGTTCCCTTCTGATGAGCCAGGTTCGGGTGAAACACGCGCGTCAGGCGTTCTTAGTGTGCAATTCCTATAACTTAGAGTCTAGCACATGGACTTGCTACCGTGCTACTTCGTTCACTGATTTTTTTAAATTTTATTTTATTCTATTCCTAAACTTATTTTTGGCAACACATTAATATTAGCTTATATCAGCTCAGTGGGATTAGCGGCAGGTGCCCTCGAAGGCACGGGGGGGGGGGGGTCATAGATTTTGTACTAGATAAGTGTCCATTAATTCTGAAGCAATATTTGCCTAAACGTTCTATCCATTGATCACTTTGGAGATGCTGAGACCTATTTGACAATATTGCATAGCAAGAGAGAATACTAATAGATGCTCATGTATTTTTATTTACATATAGCCTCTACTACAGCTCTCAAAGATCTAGACTTTAGACTAAGTTATCTAGATTCAGATGGAGACACTATATCCAGCTCTACTACGGACTCACAGTCATTATAGGCAAATTATTGACTCACTGTCCGTTTATAGACTTGTGCAGAACTTGATAGATTTCATACTAAAGCCTACCCTCCTACTAAACTGAGATTTTTACCCAGATATAATTATTTGTAATAATATACTCCAAACTGGCTAGCTCTACTACCTAGCACGATCTCGCTATAGCTTTTATTTATTAGCCATAAATATCTAATGAGATTTATTTGCTGCTACCCACATTAATCTCACTGGTCTTGTTCTATATAAGCCAAGCTGCCTGTGTATTTTTTACCAGTCCTGTGTAGACTGGCATCTATTTTGAGATCGTCTCCAGTTTAAATAGGGACATTTCTAATCCAGGCATATGCCATTTATGGCAGGCTATATAGATTTTTATTATCTAAGCAAGTATTCATAATATCAATAGACGATACTTTGCTTATACCACCGACTTTTTTGCATAAGAACGCATGTAATCTTTTTTAGCAGATTAGAGACTGGTGTGATATCCTGTGATTTTTCTCCGTATCAATAGGGTATTTTAAACATGGTACTGATTTCAGTACCTATCTTTTGTTCACTGTCTGTACATAAGCACGTTTAATATTTCTTTTGTTATATTGTATAATAAA